TCTAACCTGCCAAATGTTTTACTACTAAAAAATTGGGTTAAAAAAAATAAAAAAAAAAAAAAAAAAGAAGGAAATTAAGTAATCTAATAAAAATACTAGCAAACATCATAAATTGAAGTTGCAAAATTTGGAGGCAGAACTGCAGCAATGTGATCAGTGACCGTGAGATACTGTTTGCCCTCACCAGCTTTGCTGACCTGGACTATTTATTTCCCTGCACTCCCTCCCAGCTCAGCACGGGGCTGGCCACAAACCCGCTCTGGCTCAGCCTCCCATCAACACACGTTTGTCACTCAGACCTTGCAGGGCTTTCTTCCTGCTCGCCACTGAGCTGACTTGGTGTGCTCACTACTGCTGATCCTGTGGATGGCGAGGCTGCAGGAGCATTCCTGGCAGCTATTCCTGACAAGGTCTCAATGACATGGACAGCAGCAGCTTTGCCAGAGCTGTGGCAGGGGAGTTCCTGGCATGGGAAGCCGGCTCATCTCTGGAGACGTCACTCTATCGCCACAGCAAAGGGCTTAAGGTGCTCATTCACCACCTTCTCTTCATACAACCCTGCAACTCCCAGGAAGGGCAACTGACCTAACTAATTACTATTTATTTTAAGAAAAGCAAAGCAGTTGCAGCACTAAATCTCATTTCTCCTTTTCCCTTATCTGAGCATGCCAAAGCAAGAGGTCCATAAACACGTGGCACACGCCTGTATCCCTGCCCAGGATCCTGCCTCTACCATCAGGAATACCAGGCAGGAGAAGACACTTTCCTCCTGCAAGCCCTCTGTCCAAACTCCAAAGTGAACAGCAGCTGTGGAGAATGCACTCAGAGTGTCAAACTCAGCACAAAATGACAAAAGGGCTATTTAGGAACAACTCACTGTAGAAAGACTATAATGCACAGTTCAACAAGACTTTAAAAAAAACTCAAAATTATCTGTTTTAAGGTCTTATCCACATAACAAGCTTCAAAACATGACTGGGCTGTAACATGCTCTTTATGACCCTCTGCTGACTGGGAAGACATTAACCTACACTGACAGAAAATATTTGCAGCCATTTGGACACAGACTTTAATACTGAATTTGCTTTCATCCTGAGACTCGAATATACACAGCCAAAGCTACAGCCAAGAGAAGGCTCATCGCTCCTGAAAACACATCCTGGCCCTTCCTGGCTGACAAATACAATTTTCCTGGATTTAGTCAAGTTTCTGACATCCACTCAAAGCTTTAAAACATCTTAACATATTTCTAACCTCAGCTTATCCCATTGTGGGTAAGTGTGAACACTCCAGCTCAATACAGCTCAAACATCTACAAACCACCACACACTTTCCCATTTTTAATCCTTCCATGTGCCTTACCTTGGCTTCTACTTTTAAAATATAGTTTAACAGGAAGAAAACCTCTCAGGCTATTTGGAAAGGAAAAAGGGGAAATAAATAAAAATGAAGACAATTTTACAGGTCCTACTTCAGCTAAACCTTTCAGGGCCTTCAATGAGAAGATAATCTTTCTGTGATTATGGCCAAACCCTCTCGTTGCTTGGCAACACATAATTAAGGAATATGTTTTCAGATCCGCTTTGCAAGCTGGCCATTATCAGATGAAATTACTGGAGCAACAAATGTCATCCTCATGCAAATGAGATGGTCGTAGGCAAAAGAAGAAAAAAAAAGAAATAAAGAGGGCTGAGTAGCAAGAAAGAGCTCAACAGCACAGAAATACTGCTGGCTTCCTCTTGCTGTGCACTGGTAATTCTGGTGAAGGGAAGGGATAATTTCAAGATTTTTAGAGAACAGGGTTTGCAGTTTATAAATGTGAACCAGGGAAGGAGGGATCTGCTTCCCATGGTGGAGGAGATTGCTCCTAATCCCCGTGCTCTGGAGGTCCTTCAGCCCAGAGCTCTTTGCTGCGTCGGCACCGACCGCTCAATCAGACAAAGCGCAAATAAATGAACATATTTGTGTTCCCCACATTATGCCAGTTCGTCTTCCTAGCCGCATTCATTTAAAAATACTGCCTGGATGTACTACTTCAGCATCTGATCCATGTCAACACAGAACATGTTGCCTAATATTGAAGCATTTTTTAGAAATCAATACATTACACTAGCTACATAAAGGACTCCTAAGCGTGAAAGGACCGGCATTTACTTCCTAGCTGCGTAATTATGGTATGGCAGGGAAAGGGGTGTGCCAAGTGTCTGCATTTTGACAACTTTATCATTTCCCCTCTTTATTTAGATTCCCGTGGAATGGCATCACCAGTTTGGCATCGTCTCGATGCCTATAAATGGTATCCCTCTTATTAAAGCTTTGTGTATGTGTGTGCTTGTACAGCACATTGTTTGGGAATCGTCTGCATGGGAGTTCAGCTGCACTGCACAGGGAGAAAACTCCCTGCTCACAGAGTCATTACCAGCAAAAAAACATTTCAAGGGGTGTCTTTCCACATTCTCTTCAAACAAGTCAAGGCACAAATGAATGGATTTGATGAATTCCCTTATATTTCTCCTGGTGATTTTGGGGGTTAGCTTCTATCAGGCTCTGAGTGCCACATCTCCAAAGCGGAGGAGCAGAGCCTGCTCAGATTATACAGCTTTTCATCTGAGCAGCCAAGAGCCAGAGTGTTTCTAGAAAGGGAAGGGAAGTCGAGGAGTCACCATTCATTTTTATTGTTCCAGTGCTTAATGACAGGCTTTTAGTTTAAAGCACAGCCCTATTACTTTAACAGCTCTATCGCTTCACTTACAGGCATCTCGAGAAGGAAATCAAGGGGTTTATTTTGTATGCCTGATAAAACAGCAAATTAATAATAAGAAGAAAAGCCTTAGGTAATGGCCAAAGGTAAGTCGATTCTCGAATAACACCATTAACTATCTGATGAATTTAGTCAAAACAATGCTAACCACTTCCTCGGAGGAACACATTTGTGCCTGATAACAGCGGTAAAAAGTCAATCTGCAGCAAACCCTGTAGTCCTAATTGCTCAGCCAGCACAGTGTCTAATCTCCTGCTCTCGACAAACAACAGGAACGGCAAGATTAACCCTGGGAGCATTATCTGAGATACCCCTCACATTTAACTGAAGTTGGCTAAACAAATAAAATATTTGGAATTTAACCACAGAGCAAGAATCAGCATCTTTAGCTCCACGTGGCCAGCACAACCCTGCACAGAAATCCCCTTCATCGCATATTCTAAGTAGGACAGTGTCTAATACTCAGGCATGAACCTCCATGATATTTGACTGAGGGTTTTTTGAGGGGTAAAATAAGCAACAACGAAGTGGTTCTAAACTACAATATGGACTAAGCCCCTTCGGTAATTACTTGGTTCAGGCGACGCCATGGTGGAGACGATGACGGGGGGCCCCGTGCGCCTGCTGAGCTTCGGGTACGGGGACAGCTGGGCAGGGAAGGCAGGCCCTGTGGGTGCCAGGCCACCGTCCCCTGCTGTCCCCGGCCGGCGGAGGAGCTGGGGGCTGCTGTGGGGGCTGGGTGCCGGTGACGCCACCGCTGTCCGCTCCCTCTTCATCAGCTCCATGGGCACGGTGTAGGTGGTGGGGTACGCCGTCTTGGGGCTGGCGTGCGGGTTGGCCGCCGTCATGGGCAAGCCGACGGGAGCAGAGTAGGCAGAGGCGGGACGCGGGTGAGTGCTGCAAGGCAGGGGGGTGTTGTATCCCGAACCGGGGAGGAAGTGCGGCCCCTGCGGAGCCCCCGCGGGGGCCGGGTAGGTGGTGGTCTCCAGCAAGTGCTGGGTCGGGGCGCTGGACGGCCGGCGGTGTATCTCTACACCTCTTGGGGACAGCGGCTGCAGCGGTGGTGGGTGCTGCGAGGTGCCAGGGCCATCCACGGTGGGCACCCCGTATTCTGCCGGGAGCTCGCTGCGATGGCTGAAGCTGTTGGAGCGGGTCCTGGGGCGCAGTGCCCCGCTCCTGCGCTCCTGCCTCTGCAGCTGCATCTCTGCCTTGTAGTTGTGGGCGATGCGGGACAGCACGCGGGCCTGCCCCAGGTTGGGTGCCACCGACTTGATGTCGTTCTCCTCCATCATGGCCAGCAGGTTCGGGGAGTCGAAGCCCTGCTGCAGCAGGGCAGCAAAGGTGCTCTCCGAGACGCCCTCCGCACGCAGCAGCGCCACAAACTCGGGGTCAAAGCTTCTCTTGCCCTCCGGCCCGGGGAAGGCGGGCGGCACCGGCGGGTGGGAAGGCGTCGCCACCGTCGCCTCGTAGCTGTCGTAGGGACCCTTGGCGCCGGTGCTCTCCCTGCCTGGCCCGTAGCTGCTGCCGGTGCTGGTGCTGGGATCCACCACCAGGCAGGTGGGGGCAGCTTGCCTGGCTGCTGCCACCTCAGGAGCCCGCTCTGCCCCATCGCTGTAGCCTGGCCTGCTGAGGAAGGCAGGTGGCTCTGCGGCGTAGCGCGGGCCGGGGGGCTCCGTGCCGTACCACGCTGGGGAGACATCTCTGCCACGCAGCCTCTGCCCATCCAGGGCCAGTTTGGGGTCTCTGTAGAGGCGGCTGGTATCTGGTGGGGCAGGTGGACGCGCTGCGGTCTGGTCCCAGGACAGCCGGCTGCCGGGCGCCCCATAGCTCGCCAGCGGCCTGCCTGCCACGTGGTCGCGGTAGCAGCGAGGGTCCTTGGGTGACCTCGCCGACAGCGACGGGTCGCTGTAATAATCCTGGGGCGGCAGAGAGCCCCGGGCCGCCATGGGCGCCGGCCGCTCGCAGTAGGCGAAGTCAGGGACAGAGCCCTTCCTCAGGGGCCCTGAAGCGAAGGTGGCATCCTGGTACGGGTACGCCTCTTGCTTCAGCTCCGCACCGCCCTGCAAGATGATATCATTTGCCCGCGGTGGCTCGTACCAGCTGCCCTCACCACCGTAGGTCAGGGAGCTCCTCCGGCCCGGTGGCCTCTGGTACTCGAAGGCGTTCTCGCTCTCCCAGTTCCCCTCATACCAGCCGGCAGCGTCCCAGCTCTGCGAGCGGCCGATGTTGGGGTGCTTGCTGGGGATGGGCATCACCACGAGGCCGCTTGCTCCCGCTGACAAGGAGAAGAGAAGGCGCCTTCCTTCTCAGTGCTTCTCCGGCACGCATCCAAACCGGACCGTGCTGCGCCTGAGCCCTCCCGGGACTTCAGAAAGCACCGGCCGGCGGTTTTGCCTTTCCGAGTGTCGCCTGAATTATTAATCCCGGGTAACCTTAGCAGGCAGAGCATGCGGCGGCCGGCGGAGGGGCTGCCCTGGCCGTGCGCTGCAGCCGCGCTCAGCCCAGATGCTTTATCCTGTGCCGCTGGGGACGGCGCACATGGACAACTGGCCGAGCAGTGTGTGGGGATTAGGAGCTAAATAAAACCACTAAAGCCCTCGCTCCATGTGACATCATTTTAGCCCGATGAAATCTCACGCACTGACCCAGCCAGCAACCTCAATGCAATTTTTCCCCTGGGGAATGATGATTTTTTTTTTTTTTTTTTGCTTGTTTGTTTAACATTTTATTTTTTTTTT